CCTTGGGAACCCTTAGGAGGGCGGTTCATTTTCTGATGGCTCAGGGCAGAGTTATTCTAGGAAACGGTGGCCATCTTACCAAAGCCGGCAAATGGTGGCTTAGCGGAAGAGTACGTGCGAAATGCTTTAACCACGTATGTCTCTTCTGAATGTATTGAACACAGGTTTCGAGCCACCATATACCCCTGCCCAGAGCCTGCAGTGGAGCGAAGAGAGATGCTGGATGGTGTCAACATGAGGCTGGAAGATTTAGCCACTGTGAGTGAGGAGTTCAGGCGTATAATCTGAGGGGGGCTGCAGCTGGGGTAACCTCTGCCATTGTCATCTAAGTCCTATCCCCCCACGGCCCTTGCTGGACAGCTGGCTGGGGTGCTTTGCTACGCTCTTCTATAATAGCTCTTGCTGAGGGAGATTTCATAATTAGGAAACTGCTCAGTCAGCTAGAGGTGATGATTCTGCATGTCAGTAATGCTTTGTTGGGGATTAGAATTGACCACAGCCCTAGGCCACCCAGTGTTATAAAAGGAGCACCTTATCACCACCCTGGCCTCATCTGTGATACAGCTAACGAGCCAGTTATGTTGACTGACCAGTCTGACCGATTCTTTTTCTGCTGATTGCCCAGTTATTTGAGCCGACCAATTCTGTAGCAACAGTCTAGCTTCGCATGGGAACACACCCCAAATTCAGATCCTCTTGGAAAGTCTTTTGTCACCCGGTGTGGCACTTAACACTTAGATGACTAGAACACTTTTCTTCAGTAAGCTTTGGAAGTAATCACTAAAAGCAGCTGGACGTACATCAGATTCTATATTCTACATCAGCACTGTCCAATGGAATTTTCTGTGGTGGTGGGAATGTTATGTAACCTGTGAATCCAATGCGATAGCCATGAACCACGTGTGACCACTGAGCACTTCAAACATGGCAGTGCAACTGAGAAACCGACCTTTTATTTTTATTTAATTTTAATTAAATTTAAGTTGTAGTAACTCCTGTGGCTGGCGTATTGGCCAGCACAGTTCTAGAGCCTCAAGGAGTGTCTTTAGAAACTAGGTACGTTTATGTTTTGAAACTCATTGCTAACAGATATCTTTACCTTCCCAGAAAAACCTGTGTTTGATTTCTTTAATCCTGTCTGTTCCTTCTTTGTCACTTGTCAAGGAGACTATATTTCCCTGAAGCAATTTCCCTTGAGGTCCTTTTCCCCAGATACTCCTGAGGAGAACAGAAAAGAAGTTATGCTAAACTTATGTTTAGTATGACTGGGGTGGCCATGTGCAAAGGTTACTGCTTGAAAAGCGTTATTCTCTCGTTATCACCAGAACAAAAATGAACACCATTAAATCAATTCTATGTGAGGGGTACTGAGTCACGAGGGCAGAGCTCTTATGAATAGGATTAGTGGCCTTATAAAACGAGCCCCAGAGAGCTTGTTTGCCCCTTCCGCCATCTAAGGATAGAATTTGAAGTCTACAACCCAATAGAGGGTTCTCACCCGATCATGCCGGCACCCTGATCTCAGACTTCCAGCCTCCAGAACTGTGAGAAATAAATTTCTGTTGTTTATAAGCCACCCAGCCTGTGGTATTTTATTATAGTAGTCCAAATGGACTAGGACATCTTTCCAGTTCTCTGCTGGCAATCCTTGGTGTTCCCTGGTTTGTAGGTGCATCATTCCAGCCTCTGCCTCCATTGCACAGGGTGTTGTTCTCTGTGTGTCTCAATGTCCAAATTTCTTAGAAGGACACCAGTCATACTGGAGTAGGCCCACCCTCCTCCAATATGACCTCATCTTAACTTGATTGTATCTGCAAAGCCTCTATTTCCAAACAAGGTCACTGTAACTGGTTCCAGGGATTAGGACTTTAATATATCTTTTGGGGAGACACACACAGTTCAACACATAGCAACAGAACTGGACGGAATTTAGAAGAAAAGGAAGAGACAATCTTTGCCTATGGGTTTTAACCCCTAGTGGGGGAGATACACTGCTTCTGAGAGTTAAAGCCCAGGTGAGAGCTGCAGGCCACAGGAGGGAGCCCAGAGCACCGGAAGCCACTATGGCTGACGAACTCCCACTTGTGCCGCTTTGCCAGACATCTCCACGAGTGTTCCTTGTTTTTCTGTGTGCTGTTTTTCGCTCAGGTCATAACCCAGACAGAGTCTCACCGCCAGAGCCTCCTGCAGGAAGCCGCTGCCAGCTGGCACTCCTGGGTCGTCAAAGTGCAGAAGATGAAGGCCATTTACCACACCCTAAACCTGTGCAACATTGATGTCACCCAGCAGTGCATCATCGCCGAGATCTGGTTCCCGGTGGCAGACGCCGGGCGCATCAAGAGGGCCTTAGAGCAAGGCATGGTGAGTGGCAGGTGGGGCAGGGAAGGGGTACGATGAGTGACGTCCACCTTGGCAGCCCCCGCGAAGCCACATGAACGTCCCAGGTGACTTGCTGGCAGGATTGTCTCCTTTGTCTTTGTTTCTTCAGCTCTTAACCCAGCGCTAGGGCCCTCGTCAGAAACTCCTTTTCTCCTCAGTGTTTGACAATTGTTCGCCATTCCCTTCATCTCCAGCGACTGTCTATTGAGCACTGATGTGCCAGTCACCCTGCTGTTGATGACTGTAGATACTACCCTCTACCTCGTAAAGGTCACGGCCTCTCTGGAAAGACAACCAG